AAAATTAATAAGCAAGACGAATCAACCGGTGATGATGCGAAGCCCGAAGTAATCACATTTTATAACGGACTCGGAGATGGCGGCCAATGAGATTATTCTTTTCAATTTTGAATATGGGCGGGATAAATAGTCACATTATTTACACAGCAAACACTAAAACTGTCTTACTGCGTAGAATGTACCTAAAAGAGCCTTGCCTCACCACATTTAATGAAAAGATCTAGCATAATGACATTCCCGAGCTCAATAAGAAGACAAATCGCTCACTTTATACCAATGGAGAGCCAAGAAACCCATGAAAAGCGAGAGGGAATATGCTCAATATGTCTTACGAGATAAAATCGACGAACAAAAAAGGGTGCAAAGTATGTGCTAAATTACTGTGCTACGAGCACTGTATTTATCCGTATGAGGGTTGTTTTGACGGGGCATACGGCCAAGATGCCTAGATTGTTTTTTTATTCTAATTTCTTACGGTTTTGTTTATTATATAGGAAATTATGTGAAGTCGTTTCATATTTTGTTACTTTTTTTTTGAGAATAATTTGAAGTTGATTTTTTGAGACCGATTTATCAGACTGAATTAAAAAGTTTGATTTTTCTAAAAGCATATGTTTTATTTAAGGCTAACCTTTTCTCATTTATAGTCAATTAAAACAATCAATATGTAATATCTTAGTTATTCTAAGAGCGGCAAAATGCTATACACGCGCCCACTTACGTTCCATGAAAAGGCGCGCCCACTGTAGGGTTAACGCTCTTTGACCTTTATCAAGATAGGGAGGCGAGGGCTAGTTTGTATAGGAGTAACGACAGATAGAGATCCATGCTCAACTCAATTAAGAAAATACCGGTTTTATGCATGATCTCGGATATCATGCATCCACTATACACTTTTTTTTATAGAATAAGGGTGACAAATGCAGAATCAAAATGCAGATGCGTTGTCACCTGAGGTCTCAAAAAAAGGTCTCCGGATCTCTACAATCACTACTACTACTACTACTATTAAGCAACTATTTTACGCTGGTATTCTGTGAGAGCGTGGTCCTTCCCAAGTCGAACCGATCCATTCGTGCTACAACCATGATATAGTTGCAGCGTGGCTCTACCACGTATAAAAATTAAAAGTATGTTTATAGTGGAACTATCCTCCAGAGAAGACTGGCTGAATGGCTAGGTTATCTGTGAGGTCGGTAGCCTCATATGGTATAGTGATGGGTCAAAAATGGGCCCTTTTTGACCCATCGACTTTGGAATTTATGAAGAACGCCAAATTCAAACATAGTATATATGTTTATAGTATATATGTAGTATGAATTTGGGTAGATTCACCTCTATCTTCCAGGCAAAAATTTTTGGCAAACTTCAGTGTATGGAAATCAATCTACAAAAACACTACGTCAACCATATAATTTATATAAACTCTGATACTCAAGTAGCACTGAGGACAAACTTAGTGAACTTGAAGCTAGTTGGAGACTACGTGAACCGTCTAAACGTCCTGGGATGTAACAACAGAGTCGTCTTAAGATGGGTTCCGGTTCCGGGTAAGCATGGCAATCTGAGATTAATCGAAAAATCGATTTCTTGTACCAAAAAGAACAATTTTTTCTATCGATATATAATACTGAATCAATCCGGTAAATCGATATTTCACCCTAGAAAATCGAGATCGAATCTTTTTCTGTTTTTATAAGAACTATAAAATTATTTACAATTTCTTGAATGTACCCAAACTCGTAAAGAATGATAGTTATTCTATTCAAAACTCGCAAAACTGCGGTGTGCTCATCTCAGTTTCTTTCACCTCTTCGTAATATGTAGATTAAAGAAATAAAAATAAATTAGGTTTTTAATCTGTACTTTGTTGTATCTTTTGATATTATAAATATAAACTCTAAAAGCAATTCCACAAAAATATCGATTTTACAGAAATCGATCTTTTAGATCTCGATTTTTTTGTGAATCGATTCATAAGATTTCAATTCGAATCGATTTAAAAATTGATCTTTTTCGGAAGTATCGCCATCCCTAGTTCCGGTTTACGTGGGTATTGTAGGCAATGAACTTGCCGACAAGCTCGCACGGGAGGCCTCAAAGAGTACACAATTTAGCCCCAACCCGTTATGTGGAATCTCAAAAAGCCTAGACCGATTAACCCTTGAAACTATATCACTGTAAATCACTTAAGATCTGGTCTGACACGTCAGGCTGAAAACATTCTAAAACCTTAATCCGGGCTTTTGATGGTAAATTCGGTTCAGAAGTCCTGGGATTAAGTAGGATTAAATTATGCATTCTGGAAAGAGCCCTCACTGAACACTGTTGTCTCAAAAAGCACATGTCCATCCTGGGACCAAGCAACTCAAGGATATGCTGGTTCTGTTCCCTAACGGAAGAAACGCCTTCTCATCCTAACTGATTACTTATACTCCACCCAGAAGAAGTGAAATTGCTCACAGCTAAGCAACTCCTATTAATGATTTCTTAAATTTACGCGAACAATAAACATTGAGTAAATATATACGGATTTCATCGCCTTTAATTAACTTATTTTTTATTCCCGACATTTCCGGTGATTAACTGTACCCATTATTTTTCCTGCCTTTCTTCGTTTAATCTATCCAGGAATATAAAATGAAATTTTATGGGTCAACCCATTGATCTCTTCATCATCAACATCATTACAGCCCTTCATAAGTCCACTGCCGAACATAGGCCTCCCTCAAGGAATGCCACAAAACACGGTCCTGAGCCATCCTGCATCCATCGACTTCCTTTATGTCTTACTAGGTCGTCACTCCATCTGGTGGGGGGTCGCCCTACACTATATAATACTTGAGACTCAAAATTCCTTCCTTGATCGCTGTGAATCTCTAAAGGTACTCCGAAACGACAGAAAACTTCATGAACTAGTTTATCTGCAACTGTTGAAGCTTCTTGATTTGTAATGGCGAAGACTTCTGGCCACTTAGTGAAGTAATCCATCACAACCGTTAAATATTTGTTACCACTTTCACTTTCCGGAAACGGCCCCGCTATGTCAATTTCTAGGCTATTCTCTCCCATGGTGCACCTACATTGTATATCTTCAATGCACCTCTACTACGAGTCTGAGATCCCTTTACAGCCGCACAACTTGTACATTTGCGACGCCAGTCCTCGACATTGTCTCGACAGTGGACCCAGTTTTTACTGGGTTTAACGAACTCTACTGAAGATTCGAAACGGATTTTTCGAATTAAATAAAAAGAAGATTTATTGCTTTTAAAATGGGTACATTTAAGTGGTTATTGTAAAGTGTAGTTCAGCTTTTTCAGCCATCTATGAAGCATGCAAATACATTTTTTATAATTAAGTTTACTATATTAAAATATTGAATTCAATTAAAATATTCATCATAAAATAGTCATCGAATCTTCAGTAGAGTTCGTTTAACTCCCAGATCGCCTCCTAAGCATAATAGAACATCCGGTACTTTAGCTTTTGGGACAACGGACTTTTTACCTTATACAATGGCACTGTAACGGGTTTGGATCAGCCTCGGACATCCTCGTTACGGATTCTGTGCCACAGCGAAATTGTGAGCATACGATAGCATAGCGTATCTAATACATAAAAGCTATTATTTACTTTGGCAATATTTCTCTTAAATATATATATATATATATATATATATATACACTTATTTACTTGTACAATAAACCTTAGATTGGTTACATACATATCCCACTAAACCAATGACTGCGCGTTCGTAAATGAAGACTCATTTGCACAATATCCACAGATAACATAACGGTCAGTATACCTGTCTACAGATTCATTGAATCTCCACTTAATTTTAGCCAAGACCAATATTTATGCGACATAAGACATTGTCTTTCTGGACCTTGTTCTACACACGCGACAATTGTTTGTATACGTAGGTACTTAGAGCAACACGGAGATTAGCGCGCGCTATGAGTGTGTTGCTCTAAATTTTGGTGAATATTTTTTTTATAGAGTAAGGGTGACAACAAATTGCTGGTTATGTTTAAACACTCAGCCTTACTTATAAATTTACGCTTACTTAATTTAACTATCTCTATACCCGTCTCATTTTATCGGCATTACGTGAAAAGAGAGAGAGCATCTTTAAACGTTTCATAAAGTGATGTCGTTTTTTATGAATAAGGCCGTATAGTTACTAAACAATATATTACATAGATAATAAGAATTCTGCCTCGTTGGTCTAGTAGTTGTAGTGGCACGACTACTGATCATGAGGTCTTGGGTTCGAAGCCCGGGTCGGGCGAAAAAATTAATTATTGAGTTTTTCCGTCAAGAAATTCTCAATAGCTGCTCGGAGTCAGGAAGTTGGCAGTATAAAACCCCAGTGCTTCGGAAGGCACGTAAAGCCGTTGGTCCTGCGCTTGATCTCTCTTCGGTCGTGTCGGTTTACCGTCCCATCGGGATATGAGAGTGAGGGAATAGAGAGTGCAGCTGTGCTTGCGCATACACTTGGACACTATAATCCTGTCCTGCGCCGATGGCTAGTCTCCGTTGAGGCTGGCCGCCGTGACCGAAATTCGGTCTGGAGGACATTATTAATAAGAATTCACCCAACTGAGATGTAGTAGCTCAGAGGCATAAGAGAATACCCTATTATTTTTTTGAAATAGAGGAAACCTGCCTGTATATAAAATAATATTTAGGGGATATGTAAAGAAATAAGACGATAAATGCAAAAGGTGCGCCTTGATGCTGATGACGATGATGACGATGGTAGATCGTTCAGCTTCGAATGTCGTAAGAGATGACTGGGACATGCGATGCGATTTTATGACTTCCTTATTGAAAGACAGCGCTATTATAACCGCAATGTGAATAATTAAGAACTGTAACGATATTTGGAACCCGCATTCAATCCCTGATCAGTGGTACCTTCCTAAAAACTAGTAATAATGAAAGACAAAATCCAATAATATTATTTAATTAACTTTTTCTTTACACAAATTTCACATTAACAAATGTAATAGCATGTCGATACAGAATTTAAATAATTTCCATAGAACGTATAGATATAGCACCGATACAATGTAGTGTAAAATTCTAAACATCGATTTTTTTCTTAACGCCTTGTCTTTGTTTTTGAGGTCGTCCTTTAGCAGATACTTCACAACACCGGCAGCCCAAAAGCTCAATTTCTCTTCCCAGTCAACAGACATTATATCAAAATTAAATATTTTCTGGTCAACTGGCGATATACTTTGATACAGGTCACGCAGATTGTCGTCTTTGAAAATCCAGTCGTGTGTTGTAAAAAAACCAAGCGCTAAACTCAATTTTTCCACTTTTTTATAAATGTTCACGAACCTGTATAAAAAAATATTATTATATTTGGTAAATCCAAATGTGCATGCCTTAAGCGCTCATGATATACGTCAATTTTTTAAAGTATTTTAAATACACACAAGTTCTCACAAATAATCTTAATACTATTACTTATAATTTTCCGATAATTTTATGTCAAATGTCAATAAAACAGTTTTCAAAATCCAAAAGTGTACGACTTATAACGACAGGGCCAATTTTACTTGGCCGTGTAGTGGCGGTTAAGAATATCTATTACCCCATATTTCCCGTAGGTGTCGTAAAAGGCAACAGAGGGAAACAGAAAGGAGATGGGCAGCAGCATCTTCCTGGTAACAGCAACTGTATAAGAAAAAAACTGCGGTTGCTAACCCACTCGCCAAGCGTGGCAACTATGGCAATATACCCCCATGAAGAATTAAACAAATAGACGGCCCCCAGTCCCCAGCGGCCCCGCTATTCCAGGCTACAGTGGCAACCATGGTAACGGCGGGGCAGGGGGTGCTATGAATCTCCGGTGGAGGTTCGGTTGCCACCTACGACGACTCGGCCTGGCAACATTTAACGCACGCACTCTGAGGACTTACGAGAAGATCCTGGAGCTGGAAGGAGAGATAGACAAGTTGCGCTAGAATATTATAGGATTATCCGAGGTCCGAAGAGAGGGGGAGGATGCGGTGATCCTCGAATCCGGCAACTTGTTCTATCACCGGAAGGGCGACCATCTGTTTCAAGGAGGTGTTGAATTAATTGCCCACAAGTCTCTCGTTAACAACGTTTTAAAGAGTGGGAGTGTATCGACGAGGGTTACGTACCTTATGCTCAGAATCACCAAACGGTATTCGTTGAAGGTCATACAGGTTTACGCGCCAACGTCAGAACATCCCGATAAGGAGGTGGAGGAAATGTATTAGGACATTTCTAGAGCCATGCATTCCTCCAAAACTCGCTATACGGTGTTAATGAGAGACTTCAACATAAAACTGTGCACAAGAAAGAACGGTGAGCTGAAAGTAGGGAAATTTGGGATAGGGCAACAGCACTCAAGGGGCCAGCAGCTGACCGACTTCATGGAGAAAGAGGGACTTTTAATGATGAACTCTTTCTTCCAGAAGCGGCCCCACAGAAAGCGAACGTGGTCGAGCCCCGACTGTTCGAAAAAAAACGAGATTGACTTCATTATGACGACCAGACGCCAACTGTTCATTGATGTCTCAGTGATCGCAAGGGTGAAAACTGGCAGCGATTATCGAATGGTTAGAGGCACACTGAACCTAAATGTTAAGTTGGAGAGGTCTCGTCTTATGAAGTCAATGCTCCGTCCTCCTCGTGCCAGAATCCTGAAACCTTTCAGCTCGAGTTACGAATACAGTGGACGATATGAATGACAAGCTCGTGGAAACCGTCCATGTGGTCGGAGCTAAGTTCTGCAAGACCCGCCGCAGAAGAACGAGTTCCGAACAAGAAGGTTTCCGAAAAGGCTTCAGTACCATAAACCACATACATACCCTGCAGCAAATTGTACAGAAGACCGAAGAGTACAATCTGCCACTTTTGCCTGGCGTATGTGGACTATGAGAAAGCCTGTGATTCTGTCGAAATTTGGGCGGTGCTACAGTCCCTTCAGTGGTGCCAAGTTGACTGTCGGTATATGGAAGTGCTAAAGTGTTTGTACAGTAGGGCTACGATGGCTATCCGAGTACAGAACCAGAGTTCGAAACCTATTCAACTGCAGAGAGGTGTAAGACAGGGTGACGTTATATCCTCGAAACTCTTCACCGCTGCATTGGAAGACGTTTTCAAGCTACTGGACTGGAAAGGATACGGTATTAACATCGATAGCGAGTACATCACTCACCTTCGATTTGCCGACGATATAGTTCTTATAGCTGAATCGCTGGAGGACCTAAGCACTAAGCTCAATGACCTCAATGGTGTCTCCCAACGGATAGGTCTTAAGATGAACATGGACAAAACAAAGACCATGTTACACCTATGCCGGTAGTTGTTGGAAGCACTATGCTCGAAGTTGTTGACGAGTACGTTTACCTGGGACAAATATTCCGACTAAGTAAGTCCAACTTCGACCGAGAGATTCAACTCGGCTGGGCAGCGTTCGGGAAACTACGACAAATCTTCTCGTCAGGTATACCTCAATATCTGAAAACTAGATTGTCAACCAGTGCGTGTTACCAGTGATGATTTACGGATCTGAGATGTGGTCCTTCACTGCTGGCCGTATGAGGACGCTTAAGGTCGCTCAGCGAGCTATGGAGAGGGCTATGCTCGGAGTTTCTCTGCGTGATAGACTCCGAAATGAGGATATCCGCAGTAAAACCAGAATGACCGACATAGCCCAACGGATTAATAAGCTGAAGTGGCAATGGGCCTGCCATATAACTCGAAGAACCGATAACCGATGGGGAAAAAAGGTTCTCGAGTGGCAGTCTCGTACTGATAGGCGTAGTGTAGGGCGACCCCCCACTAGATGGAGTGACGACCTGGTAAGATATGCAGGAAGTCGATGGATGCAGGTGGCTCAGGACCGTGCTTTGTGGCATTACTTGGGGGAGGCCTATGTTCAGCAGTGGACTTGTGAAGGGATGTAATGATGATGATGATATCAGCGTAACTTAGTTATAGCACCATCCATCGGAAGCTATTAGACCTTTTTAGCAACTCACTCTTACGTTATCTAGTGGACGATATAGGATGCCACCAAACGCCTAATGATTAAAGAGGTACTTAAAATAAATGTATCCTATCTTATTTAAAAATTATTTAAAATGTCGCCGCAGTCGATATTGACCGGAACAACATTGACATCAAAATGAATGATGCTTAAATACTCACATGCGAGGCTTTCCGATCAATAGACATACACCATCCAAAATGTATGCAGGGATGAAGTGTAGTAACCAAGTCAACAAAATATATACATACTTATATTTAATTTCCTTAGTGTAGCTGTACCAAATAGCTTTCGTAGTGGCAATCTTTTCCCCTACATTCAAAAGGATATCCGCCATTTTACCTGGAAAAAAATTGGGTAGTAAATTGTAATTATAAGGTGTAATTATAAATATAAACTATGGCAGCTCATGAACTAAGCGTTCGTCATAAATTTAACAATGTGCGAGCAATTCGGCCCCCGATGATGCCAATGGAATTATTGGTAATTTTATGTACTATATTTACCACGAGCTCAGCAGTAAAGAAAAACACCGTGAGGAAATCTGCATGTCTCGGATATTAATTATTTAGTAGAAATGTCAAATCAGCCGAACAACAGAAACAAGACGAGGTTGCAGCAACAAGACTACAAAGAGTAGCTTTAGGTGTGAAATATAAGTTAACAGTTCATGTGATGATTGATAGATGCTGTAACCAATAAATACTTGTTTATATCTTACCGCGATAAAGATTGAAAAGCATATGCGCTGCCCTATTAAGACCACGGTTCTTACCGATAATGTTATGACGCTATTTTACGTTGGTATTCTGTCAATGTGGTGCATTCCCGGTCAAAGCGACCTTTTTATACTGCAGTAATAACACAGCTGCTGCCACATGAAGATAGCGTAAAAGTGATGTAGAGTAAAAAGTTACAGCCTACATGCATCACACAGTTAGTCACAGGTCACCTCTCATTCTAAAAGCGTTTAAATAGATTACTTGAAATCTGATATTCTTACTTCTGTTTATTTAGGGGTACGTTGACTATCTCAGTCCTCCTGTGCCCACGGCACGCAAAGTACTTGAAACGTGAAAATATAAAAACAAGTTAATTAAATGCGATAAAATCCGTGAACGTGTAAGTTTAGTGCTGATCTGAGGTGATGATAAACATTGTGTCAAAATTTGCGTGTCTGAAAACTTTAAATATTCCTTGCTCTAAGCCCCTCTAAGATATGAGAGTAGGCTTTTATGCTAGGCTGTTTGTTAAATATATTATTTATTTAATATACTTTTTTGAACACTATACAACACATATGAACAATTTGTTATAAAAATGCAATGGGCAGTCTTATTGCTGGCAGAAATTTCTTCGAATCAACCAGTAAGAGCTGTGGTAGAGCTCGGGGGCTTAGCGCTCGCTGTAAATCGTGCTTGGTGGTTAATAAAAACATTGTTAAGAAACATGCATGTCTGAGAAATAAAAAATATTTCGATGACTAGAAGAAGAAGAAGAGGTTGGGAAGACAGACAGTGCGGCGGATACTTCGTTGCCCTAAAACCCTTTATCAAATGAGGGAAAGTCTGTGCCCAGCTGTGGGAAGTATAAGTATTGGCTGTAACTTTGTAATCGGTAATATCCTAAGATGGATATCGGCGTTAGCCGCTAGATACAATAAAATATATAATCATTAGTTCTAGTATTAAGAAAAGACATTTTATAAAATATTTACCAAATAAAATAGGATTTCTAGAGCTGGTCACAGTGTAAATCTTTGTCGTCTTCGTGTCCTGTCTTCTGGCAGTTTCATACGCTGCGACAATAGTTGCGTTGTTCACCATGTCGGCAGGCACTATATCCAACTTAATATTTTCGTCGCCGTAAGTTATATGTGTGATACCGAGGGCCACCCCTATTATAATCTAAAAGTAACATTAATGTAATAAATAACGGTTTTATCATAGTAGTTGCCCACTATAGGGTATAATTTATTGTACCGCAAGCCTGCACACAAATATACAAAACCGACAGAGCAAGGACACATCTTCAATTTTTTTTAAATATTAGGATAGCAATAAGTCAGCAAGCTTAGCCGTGGTAGCTCAGATGGTTAACGCTCGCAGTAAATATAACAGAACGCGAGTAACCCGGTTTCCATCTCCCCCGGCATCAATGAAATTGTTAATTGCAATTTTAAGTGCTGATTTACCACGTGCTCGGCGGTGAAGGAAAACATCGTGAGGAAACCTGCATATCTGAGGAATAAGAAAAAATATATTTTGAAGACATGTGAAGTTCGCCAACACACATTGGGGCAGCGCGGCGGACACTTCCTTGCCCTAAAACTCTAAGACGCCTGTGCCCAGCAGTGGGACATATATAGGCTGTAACTTTAAGCTAGGAAGCCTTTCTATAATTAGTGTGTTTGTGTGTTTTTCTATTATTTTGTCAAACAACCTATTTTATATTTATTGATTTCAATTACGTCGTCACCCCTGTGGGCTGATATTAAAATGCCTGACAGCCTGAAAAACCATACCGTTCTAATCGAAACACAGCTGTGATTGTACCGCTGCGTAGTGGCAGATGTAGATAAGACTGCAGTATTAACCCAGACGGACTTCTGGTCAGAAAAGGAGCTGTACCATCTTAAAATATGTATTTATACGATGACGGTCTAACTTCCTATCTATGAGAAAGTTTTCGATTCTGTCGTAATTTGGGCGGTGCTACAGTCCCCATCGGTTCCAAGCTGACAGTCGGTATATCGAGGTTCAGAAGTGATTATTGTGGCTTCGGAACAGTCCCGTTATAACATCCTTTTCCTAAGTGTTTCCTATCCTCCCGCCTCCCCCGTATACGCACTGCTCAGAATGGTGCGCCACCTATCGTCGAGAAAAAAGAAGAAGCAAGATGGCCGCGCACGCATAAAACGTTACCGCTTGTTTAAAAATAACCAATAAATAAGTTGTAAGACTATCGTGCAATTGCTCGTGTCCATATACATTCGAAGTGCAGTGTGGTATCTGTGTATACACGAGAACTTCAGCCTAAATATACAGACTTCACCATAACCACGATGAGTGCTCCAGTCTTGTGAGTATCCTTACCTTATCTACCCAGTTCTAAAGCTATTTTCGTTTACTTCCCGGTTGGGATCATCGGGTTAGCCAGCCCTTGGTCTGGTTGTTCTCTGGTTCCCTAAACCACCCACGAAACACATTGCGAAACATTCAAGCCGTAACATAATTTCTGGTCCATACGATCCGGGTACCTATGGATTTCTATTTTTATACAGTCCGCTCCTCATAAAGATAATATCAAGTTCAATTTCTAAGGAAAACTTTGATATTAAATCTATTTTTCTTATAATTGAAAGTAACTAATTCATTTCAATTATAATCCTGCTAGACTTGAATGCTCGTGAAGGGTTTCGTATTGCTCAGACTTTGCAGACTTATCTTATTTGGTTGCGTTATAATTGCTAAGTTTATTTCGAATGTGCATTGATAGTCTTACGCTTTGAAAATTATTATAATTTGAGGGTATTTTATAATTATTGTTGGAAAAAATTACTAAATCACTTTATGGAAATGATTAATTTGGTCTTAGAATAATAGCACTTAAGTATAAATACTTGTATATCTATGAATGTTGGGTCGTTTGTTAATTGTTATCTAATTCAAATGGTTAAAAAAACGTTAACATTAAATTCAGTATTTGAATGTTAATTTAGTTTGGAGAAACTTAAATATTGTTTTAAATATCTGTCGTTAATAATTATACTTAACATTCATATTTAATTTTTCGCTGTTATTTTATAATCATGTCGCAAGAAGAAATGAAACTTAAACTTTATACGTCACAGCGAGAGTATGTTTTTCGTTCTATTCAAACTCTTTTCGATTTATCCACTCAAATTCTAAAATGCCAACCACTAATATTCCTCTAGCGGTTCGAGACTGTTATAAACACTTAGTATTAGCGGACCGTGACTTTGACAAACCGTCTGATGTTGATTTATTGCTAGGTGCTGAAGTATTTCATCACATCTATGACGGCCGTGTCATTCAACCAGAGCCCGGCTATCCTGCTGCTTTACATAGCGTCTTTGGTTGGGTTCTCTCAGGACCCACCAATGTGGAGAGTCCGGTAAAATCGGTTGGCACTTCGTTAATTACTTCAACCAATTCATTGGAGAAGATGATGAAACGATTTTGGGAAGTCGAGGAACCGCCTCATCAACATATACCTGCTCCAGAAGATGAGGAGGTCGAACGCCTGTATTCCACTCAAACTTATAGGGAATCGGACGGTCGATATGTAGTCCCTATCTTATTGACGCAGTCGTCTGTCTATATGGGAGGCTCATATAATAGTTCTTTGTCGCAGTTTATAAATCTTGAGAAAAAACTTTGCCGACAACCAGATCTTAAATCACTTTATAACGATTTTATGCGTGATTATGAGCAGCTTAATCATATGCAACCAGTGGGAAAGGATATTACCCCTGGTAGATATTTCAGTCCTCACCATTGTGTGATTCGTCCAGAAAGCATAACGACAAAACTTCGCGTTGTATTCAATGCGAGTCACAAGACGACTAATGGACTATCTTTAAATGATATTGTTTACACTGGACCGAAGTTATAGGCTGATTTGGTTGACATTATTACTGGATTTCGGGTCCATAATATAGTTTTTACATGTGACATATCTAAGATGTACAGGCAAATCTTGATAAGGCCTGAGGATCGAGTGTGGCAACACGTACTATGGCGTGAATCCCCTTCCTTGCCTGTTCAAGAATTTGAACTTCGTACGGTCACATACGGAGTCAAAAGCTCGCCGTACTTAGCGATACGAACATTACATCAGTTAGCTGCAGATCACGGTGATCAGTTTCCTCATGCAGCTGAAGCTCTTCGGCATCATACTTACATGGACGATATTACTACAGGTGCTTCCTCAGTCGAAGCAGCCTCTCAGCTTAAAGAAGATTTAATCAATCTTCTTAATTGTGCTCAGCTAGATTTGCGTAAGTGGAGCAGTAACAGCCCTTTATTTCTTCGATCGTTACCCATGGAACATTGTCAGTGTCCGAAGACATTTTCTGATGATAGTTCAATAACGCTTAAGGTTTTAGGAATTCAATGGGATCCTGCGGAAGACTATTTCACTTACTCCGTCTCTCCTGTGAATGTGGAGTTTACGAAACGTTCAATCCTGTTCCACGTTGCTCGTATTTATGATCCGTTGGGTTGGCTTTCACCTTTTATTCTTTTAGCCAAACTACTTCTTCAAAACTTATGGCGTATTGGATTGTCTTGGGATGAAATCATTTCCGCCAATCTGTGTGACGATTGGGTTTCATTTGTGTCTGACTTGTCTAATATAAAATCGATAAAAATCCCCCGTAAAACCGTGATTGATTTAACAGCTACACACCAGCTGATTGGGTTTTGCGATGGATCAACCAAAGCATATGGGTGCTGTGTCTATCTCCGATCAAGTATCGATGATCAAAAACAAGTTTCTCTTTTGATTTCTAAATCTAAAGTGGCTCCGATTAAGCCTCTAACAGTTAATCGTTTGGAGTTGTGCGGTGCGCTCTTGTTATCACGTACTCTCAAACACATGCAAACTTTACTTATTTCGAAAATAAATATATCTCATATTGTTGCCTACACTGATAGCTCAACTGTATTAGCTTGGATCAATACAGAGCCATACAAATTGAAACCTTTTGTTGCGCATCGAGTAGTTAAAATAACTGACACAGTTGAACCTTCTACCTGGAGGCATGTCTCGACTCAGGACAATCCTGCTGACTTTCCTAGCCGAGGTCTCTCGTGTGCAGAATTGATCAATTGTAAGCGATGGTGGTCAGGACCAGATTGGATGCTTAGTAGTCCAGATCACTGGCCAGCTCAAATTCGGTGTAAGCCCCAGGATGAGTTGCCAGAGTTGAGAACACGCACTCTGATTGCTCAATCTCTGGAATCTGATAAAGACATTATGAAGGTGTTATTAAATCGGTATTCATCCTTATCGCGACTACAGCGAATATTGGCATGGGTCTTTCGCTTCATTTCTAATTCGCGCAAAGAACCAAGCCAACGCGAGAAAGGTCACTTGACTACGAATGAGGTAAAGTGCTCTCTACTTAGCCTTATTAAATATGTCCAACGGGGCAGATTCAATCAAGAGATGTCTAAATTAAAATCGCAGAAGCCTCTACCTAAATACTTACAAAAGTTGTCTCCGTTTATTGATAACCTAGGACTCATGCGAGTGGGTGGACGACTTACCAATTTCAACTTACCTGAGCACACAAAACATCCATATTTGTTACCGAAACAATCTATTTTATCTCAATTAATTATTAGCTATTATCATAAACGGTATTTGCACTGTGGACCTCGCACGTTACAATCACTAATTGTTCGCAAGTTCTGGATTTTAGGAATTCGAAATCTTATTCGTTCTGTTTTAACAAAGTGTGTGACTTGCTTTCGGGTTAAACCTATACCCTATCAGCCGTCTATGGGCAACCTGCCACCTTGTAGATCTCAACAAGGTTACTGTTTTCAACAGGTAGGGATTGATTTTGGCGGTCCTTTTCTTATAAAAGAAAACAGACGACGTAACGCACGGGTCAGTAAGGCTTACATATGCTTGTTCATTTGTTTATCTGTAAAAGCAGTTCATTTAGAACTCGTATCTGAACTGTCTACAGAAGCGTTTCTAGCCGCCCTAGACAGATTCGTGTCTCGACGTGGAATATGTCAACATATTGTGACAGATTGTGGCACTAACTTTGTGGGCGCTAAACGATATCTTGAGGAAATGGTTAAATTATTGATAGATAAAAAACAGGATATTTCTGATCAATTAACGTCTCGTGGAATCTCGTGGAAATTAAATCCACCTTCAGCACCTCACTTTGGAGGCGTTTTTGAAAGTGGTATAAAATCTACTAAATATTATCTCAAGAGGGTCATAGGATCACAAGTCCTGACGTTTGAAGAACTAACTACAGTTTTAACTAAAGTTGAAGCGATGCTGAACTCAAGACCGGTTTGTCAGTTATCGTCTGATCCTGGCGAAGTTGATGTTCTCACGGCCGGTTATTTTATTATAGGACGTCCTTTAGTAGCTCTACCAGAACCGTCCGTTGAAGATATGAATCCTAGAACACGCTGGCAGTTACTTCAAAAGCTTTCTCAAAGTTTTTGGCGTATTTGGCAAAGTGATTATTTACATACGCTTCAACAAAAGGTTAAGTGGTTTAAGAATGATCACAAACATCCTAATATTGGTCAACTCGTTTCAATCATTGAACCTAATCTACCACATAACGAATGGCGCCCAGGTCGAGTAGTCCAAATCCACCCCGGAAAGGACAATATTATCCGGGTTGTGACCTTAAAGACCAAAAGAGGCCTACTTACAAGACCAGTAGTCAAAGTCTGCCCTTTTCCTCTTGATTGAATCTTATTTTTATTGTTTTATTAAGCTAGATTGTAAGTTCTAATTTTAAAATTAAATTAACTAAGTTTGATTTTCTTTTGTAGTTTAGTTAAGGTTATCAATGCACAACTTAGCTCAGATATCTATTTAGTTTATATTAATTTATATTCTATGAGCAACTGGGGACCCGGAGAGCTGCCGGGTCGATGGTTGTCTTGTGAAATCCCTAGGTGATTTCAGGTGGGAGGGAATGTTGTGGCTTCGGAACAGTCCCGATATAACATCCTTTTCCTAAGTGTTTCCTATCCTCCCGCCTCCCCCGTATACGCACTGCTCAGAATGGTGCGCCACCTATCGTCGAAAAAAAAGAAGAAGCAAGATGGCCGCGCACGCATAAAACGTGTTCGTTACCGCTTGTTTAAAAATAACCAATAAATAAGTTGTAAGACTATCGTGCAATTGCTCGTGTCCATATACATTCGAAGTGCAGTGTGGTATCTGTGTATACACGAGAACTTCAGCCTAAATATACAGACTTCACCATAACCACGATGAGTGCTCCAGTCTTGTGAGTATCCTTACCTTATCTACCCACTTTTAAAGCTATTTTCGTTTACTTCCCGGTTGGGATCATCGGGTTAGCCAGCCCTTGGTCTGGTTGTTCTCTGGTTCCCTAAACCACCCACGAAACACATTGCGAAACATTCAAGCCGTAACAGTGATTGTATAGTAACGCTTCTGTCATGGCACAGCGGATCAGTAAGTAGAGGTGCCAATAGCCCGGAAACATAGCCCAAAGACAGAAAAAAAAAGAGAAAATGAAGAGAAGAGAGGACAAACGATAGGGAAGAAAAGTTCTCGAGTGGCAGCCTCGTACTGACAAGCGCTGTATTGGGCGACCCCTCACAAGATGGAGCGACGAACTGATGAAACACGCGACATCTATTGGGGAGGCGTATGTTCAGCAGTTGACTTGTGATGGACTGTAGTAGTAGTAGTATTAGTACTAGTGGTGGTGGCAACGGTCTAACGACTGTACACTTTTGCTTAAATGCGACAAATTTAGCCGCGCCCGTTGAACTCTTTTTAACGCGTCGAATTTTCGATTACACGTCTGTAGGGTGTTTCACATAAAATTTTACATGCTTTGCATTTTAATATCTATAATTGACAAGGTCAATGATTTTAATGTATTTGTTTCAAAACTAGAGAAAATTCCAAGAAAAATAGTGTTTTTATTTTTTTCCTATCTTAAAAAAGGACTGAGATAATGAAGACTAAATTATGCTTTCCGGCACGATGTTATCATCACAATTCTGTCGGCCGTACGGCCGTACAAAGCGTGGTGACGTCATCGACGTTTCGTTGCACACTATAAAGGTGGATACTCAATTTCATACCGCAGGGTGTAGACAGAGAAATCTCTCTCTACGCCGCAGGGGCAATCTAGAGAGTACAGCGATCGTTTCAATATCTACACACATACCTGCCGTTTAGTATGAGAGTGTACGTGTCATTACGTCTCGCTGGACTCCTGCGGTCTTCCTGCGGTGCTACCGCAAAATAAGAGAAAAAGGAGATACAAGGTGAAGAAGCCGCTCTTTGTACACTTCTATTACTCGCCTCCAAATTTCACACTCTTTATCTATTGTGACTTATACTCACACGTGTGCTCCGCGATAAAGTCACCAACAAACTGATTAAAATTGCCCTAATTGCTCCACACACGCGCCAGCGGCAACTATGATCCCGGGAGTAAGGGGGGTCTAGCACCCCTGCCGCCCTGCCACAGGACCGACTTAGAATATGCCCCTGCTTGCATATACACATCACAATTAAGGAGACAATTAAGAGTCATCCTCACTCCTACACCCTGAATTGCCCCTGCGGCTGGCAAGTGAATATCCACTTTTAGGGAACTTAGTATTTCGCTCGCAATTTCGAGCGGGTCAATCACCGCTGTAATTCAACGAGAACGCTCGTATTATTTTTGACTAAAACCTTACGAGCGTTCTCGTAATATAAAGTAACTCGTAACGTATTTAAGTATTGTCTCGTCTCCGAATAATACGACCAAAAAACACCAAATATTTTTTTATATTCCTATACTAAAAAATTTTAGGAAAAAGTGCGTAATCGTTTCATAGAGAGCAGATTCTATTGGACCAAAAACTACCGCATTCTGTTGTGAGGATCATTTTCAAGGCGTTAACTTTCTTTTGAAGAATTACAGGCTGATTTCCCCTCTGAGCCGCGTCTAAGTGCTGTTTCGAGAGTTATTACTAGTCGTATCGCACGCAGACTCGACGACTTCCGGTCTACCGAACAAACCGGTTTCCGAAAAGACCATAGATCAAATACATACCCGTCGAAAAATTCTACAGAAGACCGAAGAGTACAATCTGCCTCTTTGTTTTGCATATTTGGACTAGGGAAAAGCCTTTGATTCCGTCAAAATTTAGGCGAGGCTGCAGTCCCTTAAGCGGTGTATTGAAGTAATGAAGTGTTTTTACAATAGGGCTAGATGGCTCCGATCCGAGTACTGAACCAAAGTACAAATCATATCCAAAGATGTAAGACAGGGTGACGTAGTATCCCCGAAACTCTTCTCGACTTTATTGGAAGACATTTTCAAGTTACTGGACTGAAAAGGATACGTTATTACCATCAATGGAGAGTACATCACCTTATGAGAGAATCGCAGGAGGACCTAAGCACTATGCTCAATAACCTCAGTATTGTCTTCCAACGGATAGGCTCAAGATAAACATGGACAAAACAAAAGTCATGTGTAACTTCCATGTCACACCTATGTGTGAAATTGTTGACGAGTATGTTTACCTGGAACAGATAGTCTGACTAGGTAAGTTCAATTTCGACCGAAAGGTCAATCGACGAATTCAACTCGGTTGGGCAGCGTTTGGGAGATTACGTCAAATCTTCTCGTCAGGCATACCTCAAAACGTTGAAGTTTGGTTGTACAAACACACTAATTGTACAATCTTGTTTTGCAACAAGATTATACACTCAGTGATGACCTATAGATCTGAGATGTGGTCTAAACTATTGGCCGTATGAGGAAGCTCAAGGACGCTCGGCAAGTTATGGGGTGGGCTATACTCGAGGTTTCTCTGCGTGATAAACATAAAAACGAGGATATCGGCAGTAGAACCAGATTAAACGACATAACCTACTTCTTATAAAAAAACTATCGCTGTACGAGACGCTTCACAACTTTCCCGCTGACGCTGCTCACCGTCGCTGATCTGGGTATTTAACGTTTGACGTGAGCGAAGTATTTATAACACCATCTATTAGAAGCTTAAAGCAAAACATTATAATTATATACTCTCTGGGTACAAGATCTTTCTGGTATTTCTTATAGTCATTGCTTAAAACACCCTCATGATGAAATGGTACCCCATTTCATTAGATTAGAGAATGGTACCTCATTACGTAAGAGAACGTCGCCACCACATGACAGTAAATTTTTTTATTAAGTTTGGTACTTACACCGCTTGGTCCATATGCACTGCTAATATCCAGCCAACCGGGAATGGGATCTCGATACGTAGATATAACTGTAAAGAAACAATTTCATTAGTACCTATTATTTCTATAATTTTTATACATAATGTTACGAGCTTTCCGAAAAGATCATAGACCAAATTCGTGAGAATAAAAACTGCCGATAGAATTACCAAAATTAACACTTTAATTCACTTTACACTAATTAAAACTTAAAAGACACTAATAATTAATCACACTGATTCACTTTATTTCGCTCTGAAGCTTCGCTTGTCTCGCCAAATTCAATACTATTCCGATCGCGGCATGCAGCGGCTTTAAATGCACCTTAATTACACCGAAACATCCAGAATATTCCAGTAGATACGGGCGCCGACCGACCAGACGCAGAAAGTTCGAGTGTGGGGCTTCTAGAAAGCTTAATTCTTCTGTTCGATACTAGATGGCGCTGTTGGTCGAAGTTCAAGATTGACATTTTCTAGGAAGCCCTCCTCGCTCTGGTCCCCGACACTAGATGGCGCTAGTGCCAGGTACCTGACATCAACTTAGGCGCACAACACTGCCCAAGACATGCTCGTCCTGAGCATTATCGGCCCCATAATAACGCGCCAGTCGATCCATATGGACGATCTTAGGAGTACCTCTTGCACATTTTCGAAACTGCCTGGCAACGTCAAGGGCTGTCCTCTGCCATGGTGCAACAACATTGTACAATTTCGATGCTCCTCTCCTACGAGTCTGAGGTCTCTTCATAGCCGCACAAATTGTACATGTGCGACACCAATCCTCGACATCGTCACGATAATGGACCCAGTAAAACTGTTCTCGGATCTTCAGTAGAGCTCGTTTAACTCCCAGATGGACTCCTGAACAACCATTATGGCACAGCTGTAGAAAATCCGGCAATTTAGATTTAGGGACAACCATTTACAAACGACAGCTGTCTCCTCTACCATTTTCCCATTTACGGCACAGGACTCCATCCTGAATCAGCAAGCTGTCCCCATTGGGCCCAATAGCTTTTCGTGGTCGAACTCATCGCTGAGACGTCGCTCCACTTGGGCTTGGGAGCACTGGCCTTCATCCATTTCAGAATCGGCTTGATGTTCGGATCTTCCTGCTGTGCATGTTTGCAGTCTTCAGGAGAAGGTCTTCTTGACTTTGCATCTGCGTTGCCTCGCCATTTCCCGCTGCAATGTCTGATAGTAAAGTCGTATTCCTGCTGCTGGCTAACAGCACAGCCGCACAACCCTCTCGAGATCGATCACCTTCCCTTTTTACAGATCGCTTAGGGCAGCTGGATTGAAGATGGCCCCTTCCCCACAGCCGTAGCACCTTGGGCTGTAATTTTTATTCTGGTGACCGTAACTGCTGCAACCTCCCTAATGTGAGGTGAACGATGATCCTGCCGCCGCCAGCGAGAGCAGCCATAGCACCTAGGGCTGTATCCATTATTGCGATCGCGAACTGTAGCTGCTGCAACCTCCCTAACGCGATGGGAACGATAATCCTGCCGCACGGCTTCCACCTCCAGTGCATGGGCCAAGGCGTCCTTAAGCGCCTCTTGGTGCCCGCGCCTCACAGCAGCTCTGACTTCAAGGTCGCGGATACCGTCGATGAATGTCTGCACCAGATTCCCTTCAATGAGCACAGGTATAGACCGGTATACTTCTCGCACCAGCTTCTCCACCTCTAGAGCCCACTGCTGCAGGTTTTCGTTGATGCGCTGCACGCGATCTTTAAGCTGCGCATGAAAGACGTGTTTCAGGTGAGCGTCGCCATATCTCGCCTCCAATGCCTCAAGGAGCTGCTCATAAGTCACTTCCTCACCTAGAGCTTCCAGAACCGTTAAGGCCTGGTCGCGCAGGCCTAGTGTGAGAGCAGTCATGGCCTGACTTTTATTCCAGCCGTTCGCCTTCATAGCGGCTTCAAATTGGATTTTATAAGCTGACCAGGAAGAAGTCCCATCGAACGGTGGCAATTTGAACCCACGTAGCGAAGGTGTAGTAGCTACTACGGGAGCTGTATTCCATCCCCCAGTTTGAGGTCTTCCAGCGTTTTCTTCACGTCAGCCATCACGTTGTCAACCCGATTGTTCACTTGGTCAATTTGGGTTTTAGCTTCCTTGATTTGGGTTTCAGCTTCCGACAGGCGGTTGTCATGTTGAGCAACCCTATCCTTCACCTCCCTTATCTCTTTCCCAAAGGTAGCGTGAAGGTCCTTCATGAGGAGCATCTGCTCTTCCAGCCGACGGATGTGTTCCTCCTGTTGGCGGGCCTGTTCCTCCTGCTGCTCTTTCAACAGACGGGCCTGTTCCTCTCGTCCGCGCTGCAGCTGCTCTTCCAACCGACGGGCCTGCTCCTGCAGCATCACCATCAGAGCACCTAAGTCAGGTGCTGCAGATGCGGGAGCTACTGACGGACCGGCCTCTGTGGCCGGCGTTACACCACCAAATCTTCTTTGGTCCGTCTCCTGCTAGCATTGATTTCGAGTACGGACTCCCTCAGTTTCCTCCTTAGGTAAAATCGGCATGACTTTATCCCACTTCTGACACCAATTGTTACGAGCTTAGGGTTCGTGACAATAAAAACTGCCGATAGAATTACCAAAATTAACACTTTAATTCACTTTACACTAATTAAAACTTAAAAGACACTAATAATTAATTATCCTGATTCACTTTATTTCGCTCCGAAGCTTCGCTTGTCTCGCTAAATTCAATACTGCCCCGATCGCGGCATGCAGCGGCTTTAAATACACCTTTTACACCGAAATATCCAGAATATTCGAGTAGATACGGGCGCCGACCAACCAGACGCAGAAAGTTCGAGTGTGGGACTTTTAGAAAGCTTCATTCTTCTGTTCGATACTAGATGGCGCTGTTGGTCGAAGTTCAAGATTGACATTTTCTAGGAAGCCCTCTTCGCTCTGGTCCCCGACACTAGATGGCGCTAGTGCCAGTATCTGACGTCAACTTAGGCGCGCAACAATAATATTCAAATACATAAAATATTAAAATAACTAAAACTAAAATTATCATACAGTCTCGGTATAAAATGCCAAGAACGCTGTCTGGTGTTTCCTAACCCACCAGCCATATTACTTTGCCATTCTTAAATACCAGCTCTTTTATCACCAGAAGCGACGATCCTTTAAGAACTCCACCGCACGAGGACTCCATGGACCGTCTCTACAGGAAATGTCACAATTATGTAGTCATCTCTTAGAGACATATTATATTTGCGTTCATAGAATACTATAATACATATATAATAGAACGTGGGAGTGGGCGGAGCCCGTGTAGCTACTAAAATGTTACTAACATGTCGTCACTTCACACGGATAAATGTCAACATGAGATGTGTTTTGACGTTACAATCGTTTCCAAATTTCGCATGCGAATTATTTAGAAAATGCCAAATTGCACAGTTTTTACATATAAATGAAAATTGACAGCCGTTCTATTGTGTATTATAGTATTCTAAATTTGCGCCACTTACTTAATTTAGCTGCCCCTGATGCCGTAGTCCCTATTATAATAAAGATATTGTGAGTATCTCCTTACAGACTAGCCAATAATCTTATATAAGGGCTAGGCTTCTTCCAAGGTGTCATATTCATTATGCTAAATTCAATTTTCTAACAGATTAGCTATCGTTGTCTCTACATACTGCACTAAATGCACTGATTCCTATAGTTTGTAGTCCTTATAAAATAATAAATAATAATATCCCGCTGACCGAATTGCAATCACGGTGACCAGTCTTAACGACGACTAGCTATCAGTGCTAGATAGAGTTATAGTGCATAAAAGTGTGCGTAAGCACGGGTGCAATTACTCGTACTATTCCTACACTCTTATATTCCGACAGGACGGCAATTGACGCAACCGGAAAGAGATCAATCGCAGAGATTGTGTTCAAAATTCTCTTCACAGTAAGTAAGCAATAATGGGAAGTGGATATTGTAGTTTATAGACCATCTATCACCAATTAAGAATGAAAATATAGATGAGTCATCTCTGCGGATTATGATGCAATGCCACGTTCCTCAAGTGTCAAAAATTATTGAAAAAGTTATCCAATTCCATTTGAAATTTAACGAATTTCCTGATACCATTTCATCATCCAAAATATAGTGGTATTATGCTACTATTTTACGATGATATTCCATGAAAGTTTTTGAAGGCTAGGAGAATTTCTTCCCTTGTTTTTATTGATGTCTCTTCTAACATCCATTGGGTTGAAAATGAAGTAAAACAATATATCCTTTTACTATCTCTGATATTTTACTATTACAATTTTACAACAACTAGCCTTTTACTTAAAATGAATTTCCGGACACAATTAAAAATGTATAATTTTTGTTACTGAAATAAAATGTATTTCATTTGATTATCAATTGTCAGCAATGAAAAGCATGAAAGCATGTGAAAGCATGTGCCGGATATGATAGAGTTTCACTCAAAATGCTAAGGGCTGGAGAGGAAGTGGTGGCAGGCCTGCTGCACACCTTGTTTAATTTATGCTGGCAACTGAAGCGGGTACCGGTAGACTGGTGCAAAGCCGTGATAGTCCCAGTATATAAAGGAAAAGGGTCGCAGCAGAACTGTAAAAACTACCGTGGCATCAGCCTTCTTAGCATTGTGGGAAAACTGTATGCTAAGGTACTGATTGAAAGGGTCATGAAAGAAACTGATGGAAAAATTTAGGATGTGCAAGCGGGATTTAGAAAGGGAATGGGATGTACAGATCAAGTCTTTTCCATGCGCATGATCGCGGCGAAGTCTTTGGCCAAAAACCAAAAGGTCTTTTGTGCGTTCATGGACTTGGAAAGGGACTATGACAGAGTGGATAGGTATATGCTATGGCAAACACTGAACTCATTTGGGTTGAGCGCTGGCTTGATACAGGCATTGGAGTCTCTTTATAGGGACTCTAGTGCTTGTGTTAGGATCAACGGGGTCTACTCGGACTGGTTTGACATCCATAAAGGTGTCAGACAGGGCTGTGTAGCTTCCCCGTGGCTGTTCAACCTATTTATGGACAGCTGTTTGCAAAATTTGAAAGTTGAAGAATGCGGATTAAGAATGGGTGAGTTAACCGTCAATTGCCTTTTGTACGCCGATGATCAAGTTATCCTTGCGTCGTCGGCGGCCGAGTTGCAAATGATGGTTACATTAATGAACAGATCATTAAAAGAAAGGGGTATGAAAGTAAACGCAAGTAAGACGAAGGTTATGGTTTTTAAAAGAGAAGAAAGTAAAACAATTTGTGAAATAAGAATAGAAGGGGAGTTGATCGAATGCGGAAAATAGAGTAAATGGTGCCCTGCACTCAAGAGTCAAAATGTGTCGAAAAAGGCACGTATGGCAATTCACAATGCTTTGTTGGTCCCTACTTTAACGTATGGTAGTGAAAGTTGGGTGTGGCAGAAGAAGCACGAGAGTAGAATGAACGCAGTAGAAATGCGTCGTTAAGGAGTATGTTAGGGCTGAATCTGAATGACAGGGTAAGAAATTGTGTAATAAGAGAAGAGTGTAGTTTGCAAGATGACGTTGTGACCAGGATTAAGAAAGGAATGCTTCGGTGGTTTGGTCATGTGGAAAGAATGAATGAGGAAAGAGTGACAAAGAAAATTTATGTTGCAGAAGTGAATGGCAGAGTCGGAAAGGGACGTCTAGGCGAAAATTTATCGACCAAATTGGCGATTTATTGAAAACGAGCCAAATTAGGAGTACCCTTAACCGACGAGCATGTATGCGTAGGTGTATGGATGTGAAGGAGGCGAGAGAGGTGTGTCAGGATCGTGCCAAATGGAAGTCTGGCCTACCCCTCTGGGTGACAGGCGTGAGTGTTTATGTATGTATGTATGTTTATGTATCAATTAGCTTAGCTCATGGGCTAAGCGCTAGTCGTAAAAATTGATAATAACATATTTAAATCATGATTTTTCTAGTATTTGGTGGTGAAGGAAAATATTGCGGGCGGATTCATTGCTTCACTCTCTCAAAAATGAGAAAGAGTCAGTCCAACAATGGTAGCAACACAGCCTGTAAAATTATTTGACTTTAACTTCATTCATTTAATACTTATTGTCTTAGATATCCTTACCAATTGCTGGTCTGATTACGCAAACGGGCAGATTCACGGCCATTGTACGAACAATTTCCTCGGAAACGGCCTTTGAAAATGAGTAGGTGTTGGGCCACTTGCCGATAAGCCTGAAACATTAAAAGAAACAAAATTTTTAATTCTGCATATTTAGATTTTATAATTTAATTTTCATTAAAAGTACTATAAGTTTTATGAAATTCATAAAAATTTATTTTTATTATATAAATAATAATATTATACGTGGTAGAGCCATGCTGCAATCATATTAGTAGTATAGTTGTAGCACAAATGGGTCGGCTCGACCGGGGAAGGACCACGCTCTCACAGAATTAACGAGAGAGTCAGAGAAGAAACGAGACATTTCATCTTAGTCAGTGACAACGCATCTGCATTTTAATTCGTAATCGAGGATAGATGTAGATGTCTATGGGCCACAGCAACCACTCAGGTGGACCTTGTGCTCGTTTGTCAACCTATTCTATTAAAAAAAATTATTTAATATACATTTTTTATCCCCGTAATGAGACAGTCTATGAGGAGGCCTGTGTTCAACAATGGACTTTGATAAGCTACAATGTATAGATGTATGAAAAGTTTTATTGTATGAATATAGCGATCCGTCCGGCTTCATCAATGTTGCGTCAATTAGATTTTAATAATTTTTCCATTTCATTAAAAAAAAACATATAGCTTAGATCACTCCTGGCATTATATCTCTCTCTCTCTCTCTCTCTCTCTCTCTCTCTCTCTCTCTCTCTCTGTGTGTGTGTGTGTATGTTCGTGAAGTTTAATATCAATCAGTTCAGCCACTACGACGATGAGTCCAGACAGGCAGATAGACAAAATGTTTACCAAATAATCGCGAGAGCCCGATAAAAGGCAGTTATTTCGATAATATTATAGACAGACACTTCAAATTTATTTATATGCATAGATAAAACGAATATAATACTTAGCGAAATATAAATTTTTAAATCTTTTTTATCCTTGTCTTCGAAATCATTATAGTAAATATATTAATAGTTACTTTGCAACCATCCGCTCAATAAAATAAAATGATGTGTCTTACCTAGTTTGAAGAGCAAACTCTTAACGGTTAGCCGCCGTAGAGTCTACATCACCTGAAGATGCCTCGTGTAGAGATGAAACACGTTTCGTATTATCGTCGATGGTGTGTCTTTCCTAGAATAGTGGTGTTGGGAGTAGTGGTGCTTGGATTAGTAGTGACGGGATTAGTGCACGCAGTTGAGGGAGGGCGGGAGGTGCTCTTCAAACTAGGTAAGACACATCATTTTATATAGTTGAGCGGATGGTTACAAAGTAACTATTTATATCTTTATCATAATGGATTCCGCAAAATAACGCCTGATTCTATTAATTCGAAATCACTGTTACCAATAAATATTTGTTCGGTCTGAGAATTTCACACTGACTATGCTTTGTGATAATGTTATATAGTTAATAAAATGTTGGTATAATAAAACATTATCACCGGGTTCTATGTTAACTACTTCACTGTTGAGGCTGCACTTCTTTGGAATTTCTTGATGTCAGAAAAACGCCTAACGAATACTCTTTTAAAAAGATGGTACGCGAGCATTTACTGAAGAATCATTAGAATTATAATATTGTTGAATAGTCGTAGTTATACGTATGTATTAACTTTGTGTATATATATACTTAATAATTAGAAAAATATTTTGTCGTGTTCCCGAGATCTGCTACTGCACATGAACCTATATCTGATCAAATAGATCAAGAAATAGGTAAGGACTTTAGAATATACAATAATAATGATTATATATGCATATATGTACATAAAAATGAATCTACATTTAATTTTTGTTATCAGGCACTAATCTTCCCGTCGTGATAGTCGTCCCATTTTTCAATGCAAGACTTGATGTATCTGTGTGCCAAATTTCATCCAAATATGTCAAGTTGTTTATGCGTTACTGAGTAATAAACAACCAACATTTTCGCAAACTTTCCCATAAACAAGGGTTGATTTCCTTTCCGACAATAAAAATCTCACCTAGTAGTTTGGTCTTGATAACAACTACAATTTTAGAGTGGATCCATGACATAGTATCTGGCACGCTTGGCAATCGCAGTTTATTTTTTTAATTTTTTTATTTAATGTAACATGTAAGCAGTCTATGGATGCATGTGGCTTAGGATTATGTTTATGGCAATCTACGGGGGGGGGGGGGCATATGATTAGCAGCCTATAGTGGACAACTACAACGACTTATTTTATTGGTGACTTACGCGGGTGTCATAGCATCCAATTTCTCATCCGACATCGTCTCGGCCATTTGTATCATTGCGTCGGGTGGCGCTGGACTTTCGTAGAACTGTTCGGGTACTACCATACCAATACGGTCGCGAGTTGCGTGTGTATATGCCGTGGACACGTACACGAATGATCGGAGGTTCTTACAGTCAGTGCCTAGACGCAAAGCTTCTCGGGTGCCGCGTGCGTTCATCAGCAACGCAGTTTTTATTTGTACATCGAATCTGACGTTCGCTGCAATATGGAAAATAACGTGTACCTGTAAAAAAATGCATCAGCATTGTAATCTTTTGAAAAGTATTGTTACGAGCTAAGGGTTTGTGACACTAAAACTACCGATTGAATTACCAACATTGACACTTTAATTACCGCACATTAATTATAACTTAAAACATACTAATAATTAACCATACTGATCACTTTAGTTCACTTTATTTCGCTCCGAAGCTTCGCTTGTATTGTTAATTCGATACTACTCCGAACGCGGCGGCGAATACCCTAAATGGCTTAATATAGGCCTTTTCCACAAAAACCTCTAGAATGTTCCAGTAAATACCGGTCCCGACGTACTAGAGGTAGAGAATTCGAGTGTGGAGTTTTCTAGAAAGCTTAGTCCTTCAATTCGATAATAGATGGCGCTAGTTCTATCAACTGTGGCGCACAATAGTATGTTACTATTATCAGACTGTTAACCAGTTAAAAACGGATGGCATTTGGTCTGACACAACTGATTACTTCGCCTACGCGGATTCCAGATGTGGAGGATCATGCACCTTTCCTGTTGGACCCTCTGCTGACCTCTCACCCGGACGGATATCAGATTTCAGTCGACGCTCCTTTAGGCTCCTCGGACCATTGTCTTGTCCGGACTGTGGTGCCTCACTCACGCTGAAATAGCAGTTGCATTCTGCAGGCTGCCGCCGTGCTTGGCAATATAGGTGAGCCGATTGGGATGGGATGCGGTCTTTCTTTGCATCCTACCCTTGGGGTGGGTTTGCTTCTCGCCGGACGATCCCAACGTTGTTGCGGAATCTGTCGCTGATGTAGTACTTCAGGGTATGGAACTTTTTATTCCTTCCTCTGTGGTGCCCATTGGAGGCAAATCTCAGCCATGGTTTGGTCGCTCCTGTAAAATAGCATCATGCTATAAGCAGGAGTGCTACCAAGCCTGAGCTGACGCATCAGCGTCCCGGGATGTAAACACCAGTGCTCTAAAAAAGTAGTATAATTCCACCTCTAGGTCCTTCAAAAGAGCACATAGGCAGAATTGGCGAGAAACTAGTTCGACTTCCTTCTGGAACCCGTGCATTCTGGTCTCTCGCCAAGGCTGTCCAGGAGAATTTCTGTCAGCCATCTCTTCCATCTCTGCACAGGGAGGACGACTCACTGGCCCATACCGCAAAGGAGAAAGCCGATCTTCTAGGCTCTTTCTTTGTGTCCAACTCGACTCTCGATGACGGGGGGAGTACGCCGCCGACCATCCCGCGGTGTGAGTTCTCCATACCGGAAGTGCAGTTCACACAACGCTCGGTTCGCAAAGCACTCCTCTCCCTGGACATCCACAAGTCGAGTGGGCCTGACGGAATCCCCCCAATTGTGCTGAGGACGTGTGCTCCAGAGTTGACAAGCTCCGATAACAAGCCTATTAATGCTGGTGTTCCACAAGGCTGCGTGCTATCGCCAACGCTGTTTCTTCTGCATATCAATGATATGTTGAAAACCCGTAACATTCATTGCTATGCAGATGACAGCACTGGTGATACTCTTTACACCGGTCGAGCCAATATTTCTCGGGAAAACGTTTCCGAGTGCCGGGACAAACTTGCGTCTGAAGTCGAGTCTTTGCTGAACAGAGTCTCGGATTGGGGGCGACTAAATCTAGTACAGTTTAACCCCCAGAAGACACAAGTTTGCGCGTTAACCGCTAAAAAAAGTACCCCTTCGTCGTGTCTCCTCAGTTTGAAGGCAATCACCTTGTTGCCTCAGCCAGTATCGGAATCCTTGGCGTCGACATATCGAGTGACGTGCAGTTTCGTGGTCACTTGGAAGAAAAGGCCAAATTGGCCTCTAAAAAGCTTGGCGTGCTCAGCAGAGCAGGACAGTATTTCATGCAGGCGCACCGCCTGCAACTTTACAAGGCGCAGCTTCGGCCGCACATGGAATACTGTTCCCATCTCTGGGCTGGGGCTCCCCAGTGTACCAGCTCCTTCCACTTGACCGCATCCAGCGCAGAGCGGCTCGAATCGTCGACGACCGAGTGCTTTCCAATCGGCTCGATTCACTGACGCTGCGAAGAGATGTTGCATCTCTTTGCATTTTCTTTCGCATTTACCATGGAGAGTGCTCTGAGGAATTGTTCGGATTAATCCCAACCGCCAAATTTCGTGAACGCACTACGCGGCAAACGTCCCGATACCATCCACACCATCTGGATGCTTGGCGGTCCACCACTGTACGTTTCAAAACGAGTTTACTTCCGCGTACAACCTCTCTGTAGAATAATTTACCACCGGAGATTTTTCCGGACCGATACGACCTGGGGACCATCAAGAAAAGAGCTTACTCCTTTCTAAAGGGCATTCCCTGGTGTTGCGGTTTTGATCATGGGCGGCGATAGTCACTTAACATCAGGTGAACCGCATGCTCGTTTGTCACCTCTTCTATAAAAAAAAATTGGCTGCGCCGTTGCGTAGTAGTTTAGATTTCCGGACAATACAAATAAATATTGTCAAAATAAATATTTTTTGTATAAATATTTGTACCGAATTCTCTCAAAAACGCCTCCACGGAGAAATTGGAGAAAATCCAAGTGTATGATAAATTTATAAATAACGAAAGAACACATCTTACATTAAAGAACCATATTAGCTACTATGGCAACGGACACGAATGTGTCGTCTCAACCGGGGAAGGACCACACTCACGTAGAATACCATTGTGAAATAAAAAAATAATGTTATTATGTTCCACATGGAAACCCTTTTTACTGGTAATAGGCAAATCCAAGGTAGAAAGGAAATTCATGTGTTTTGAGGAATGACAATTACGCATCTGCATTTTGATGCTCAAACAAGGATAGATTTCGGTGTTTATTGGCCACAGGCTTACTACAACGTGAACTGTACGCTAGTTTAAAACCAAGATCTCTGTCAGACGTATACTCTATTTATTCTAGTATGACATTTGTTGAGTTGATTTTATTTTGTGGAATATGTTCGCAACACTCATGAACGACATCAGCCAATTTTTTATAATTCTCAGATCGTACAGAGACACGCTTTTAGTTTTATAATAAAGAAATTTTAAAGTTACTTGTTACGAAATTGTCATCCAGTTTCAAATGCCAGATTTAAAATAATTAAAATTTATTATATTTTTAAGACGATGGCATGGGTTTGTTTTAAGGGGAAATATAACCTCAAATGGCTTAGCAAGATCCTCCGTTATGCCGAAAATATTGCAGCATTAATTTTAAAATAAATATATGGTAAAGTTGAGGATTAATGTTAAGGACTATGTTAGACGAAAACACGATTCCGTAAAATTTTCTCGATAGAAAAAAAAAATCTAAGTTACCTCCAAAATAAACAATAAACCGCTGTTATTCATAAAATACTTTAAATAAGATCATGAAACTTTGCATACTAACTGAACTAACTATAAAGCAGTAGGAGGTGGGTAAAGTGTATCATTTTTGCGATTGGACATTTGCATCTCGATCACTGAAATGTTCCGAAACACTGATATGTTTCATTTGGCTCATTTGGATCATCGACTCAAAAGATATAAAATGCAGAATGTTACGAATACATTAAGTTGCGTTGCGGGCATTTATTACTGATCCTGATTCATTGAAATGTTATTTGGCAACAATGCTGAATGATATAAATGCTTAGGTTATTTTTATTATAAATCATATGTATAGTTATTTTTATTGTTACATATTTATTTTGTACCGTAATAAGGTTGTATATAAAATCGATCCTCCTTCATAATTTATCCAGGCTTAGTACTGGTGGCTAGTCCTTAATTATGGCCAACTGGCGTGTTATTTATGATGAAAAGGAAGAAAGTAAGTTACAATAATCAATAATCACTACGCAAAGAAATCCTACACAAAACTCAGTATGTTTTCGTAAACAGGCGCGAACGAACATAAACAATTTGACAAGTACCGGATCAACGTAAAATGACAACTTATTAATGCAAACATTATATGCAAAAAACGATCGTACAGTATTTGCCTTGGTGGTCATTTTTACGTGCATGAACAACTATAGCGAAAATCCGTAAGAGTTGAGTGAGACACTTCCTATTTGTTATCTCTTTCTGAATTGTATTGATTGTAATTATTTCGCCCGCTCACTCGCCACTCTCGCTCGTGGCTTAGTCGCTTCGCGAGAGATACGCGCTATAATAAATGAACAGAGAGCAAATTAATGTTCCAGATCCAAATGATGCATTCGAAACGTTGTTACTGAACCAATCTTTTGAATAACTTCAGTGATTCGGAACAGTGAGTCAGTTCCGTAAAGAGTTACACGCCTATAAAGCAGTGCTTATGTTGTTTACTTTTTTTTAAATACCATTATTTTCACTGTAAAAAGAAATTACCTAAACTATCGGCTTCTTGAAGCTTGATTCCTGCCGCCCGGGCAGTTTCAGTCAGTTTCGCTTCGGCCTTTGAAGGGGGAGGTTGCGTCGCTTACGATCAGAATACACATTACGCAACAGGACGACGCAAAATTAAAATGGGAAATAACCGTAATAAAAATAAGAAGCGACTAGGTTGGCGTTAAGAAACAGGCATAAATATGATAAACCTAATGAAATAAGTATCTAACGACCTATCTACTTACAGTATTAGTGATTACAAACATGTCGGTGCATAGCATACGACGCGCGGGGAAGTGGGGGCGAAATTAGAATTTGAGCTGACTTACTATATCCTCTTAAGCTAAGCTGTCTTATCGAAGATATTGTTACGAGCTTGAGGTTCGTGACAATAAAAATTGCCGATAAAATTACCTAAATTAACACTTTAATTTACTTTAAACAAATTAAAGTTAAAAACACTAATAATTAAACACACTAATTCACTTAATTTCGTTCCGAAGCTTCGCTTGTTTCGCCCAACTCAACACTACCTCCATCGCATCTTGCAGCGCCTATATATTTAAATTAGCAAAGAAATATCCAGAATGTTCAAGTAAACACGCGGAAAATACCGAGCGTTCGAGTTTCGACTAGGCGCTGTCA